AAATTGCATCCATCAGTATCCAAAACCCACTCCTTGTTACGAGCCTACAAACAACAGCCATCCAGCCCCGACTCAGACGTATAAAAGTGCCTACGAATGTGCCCACATCACTGCCGTATTGAACCCTATTGTCTTGTCTCATGTAGCACTTAGTGACACCGGGTATACCTTACCAACAGCAGCAGTGTAGACAACGACAAGGGAAGTGATTACTATGTACCCTTTAGAGTAAGCTCCGAGTGTAGAGAGCCTTCCACCCTTTTGAACAGACGAAAATCCTCTCCCCCATCATAATCTGCCACCACACCTCATACTCCTACAAAGTGCCCAACTTACCCCCATCCTCATCATCCTTCATCTCAGGAGACACGTCATCCGCGGTCTATTGTGAACACGATCGTTGTACAGTAGCAGTGACAGTGACAGTACCTCAGTATCGCGGAGTAGCCTGATACGTACTATCAGGGGATCATCATCAAACTGGTGTACATATACATAGATAGATAATCCTACCACGCGAAGTGGGGATCATCATCGAATTGATGTACATATACATAGATAATCCTACCACGCGAAGTGGGGATCATCATCGAATTAATGTACATATATAGATAATCCTACCACGCGAAGTGGGGATCATCATCGAATTAATGTACATATATAGATAATCCTACCACGCGAAGTGGGGATCATCATCAAATTGGTGTACATATACATAGATAATCCTACCACGCGAAGTGGGGATCATCATCAAACTGGTGTACATATACATAGGTAATCCTACCACGCGAAGTGGGGATCATCATCAAACTGGTGTACATATACATAGATAATCCTACCACGCGAAGTGGGGATCATCACCAAACTGGTGTATATATACATAGATATATACACCAGTTAGAAAAAATTTCTGGGAAATTTCTACACCAGCCAATCGACTGCCCTCTGCCCGAGTCTATTCCTCTCCAATAGCTTTCTGGACGCTAGATGGTATCGTAGATGGGATTGGAGGACCTGCCCAGCACAATGACTCAACCCTATAGTGTAATAGAGACACCTACCACTGCGGCGTTATGCTGAGCCTCCCACCCTAGGATTTGGTCATCAGTAAGGCCTCGAATGACCCTTAGCCTATCCAGGGCCTCCTCCACCTTCTGGACGACCTCTTGAGGAGGATAGAACTACAATGAAACCATTAGCAGTTATTCTCTTGTTGAATGCTACATCAGGATCCAATTCAGCTGGGAAGAGGTAGTGGCACTGGTCAATCAACCTCCTCACATTGATGGGAACACGCTGTCGTGATTCGCCATCCTTATACACCTTCGTACCTAATCCAATACCACTCCTTCCCATCATCATCATCATCACCAAGTTGATATTCATCCGAAGTTGATATTTCATGAACCTTACGGAGGGGGACACCATAAGAGACACTCCACCATCCAATCCGAATAACCTTCTGAACACATACGAATAAATACGCCGTGATTCGCTACATAGTTACTCACTTATATAGCCGGGCA